AACAGTTGTGAAGGCACAGGTATCTCACACAAACATAAAGTTACCCTATATTTCCAGTCTGGTATGAAAAGCATGTGAAGAAACTGTAACTGCACCTTGGGAGGAGACACTCTTTTTCCCGTATAAATATTGTTTAAAGTGTATTTTATACACCTACAGATATATCACATTGCACAGACACATATTCCTATCCTATCAGGCAGCTTCACATTTAAGTAACTCAACCAGATACTCTGTGCCTCCTAAATGATAAAGCCATAAATGCTCGTTAAAGCTCCCCGAGAGGCAGTAAATATTTTGTAAACTAGTTATATATTTAAGATCTCTGGACAGAAAGAGAAGGAAAAACAATTCCTCGCCCATGTAAAGGTACCAATCAAACACACTACGCACATAAACACCGCAAGATGCTCGGTGGGAGACTGTGTATGTGTTTGTGTGTGTTTTAATTAACTCCTTGAATGCATATGATGAGCCAGCCACCCAAAATTAGTAATGCCAAACTCCCAATTTGATTCAAATGCAATGAATACAACAGTCGAATTGTGCAGGCTGGTGTGTCACTCAACAGCTCTCTCATTTGGGCTTTTGCCTTCCGAGACTAGTTCACAATTTCAGCAACTGGTAAATTATTGAGATGTTCATTAAAATCTGTAATCTGTAACAGTCAACTTCTTCCTAGCCAAGCATAAGCACAACAAATTAAATTAGTGCATGCAGGACATTAATGAATAGTCTGCAAACACATTAATTCCTTTAGACTTATCCCAGGGAAATAAAACTGTTCATTTTTGTCACTGTGAAAAACCAGTATCTGCAACTTTACACTGGCGCTCTATTTATTCTTCAAACCCCAGATCCCTAGAACCATAAACTTCAGCAATCAAGTCCTTTTCCCAAAATGTCTCAATGAATTTAAAAGATATTCAGCTCGATAATAATCTTTTAAATGAAAGAATCTACTTCCACAGGTAGGTTTTAGGAGAGTGGGACAGCATTCTGAGCAAGCCGAGTAATGGAAAGGTGTTATTCTTTCTCCAAAATTCTCAGCAAATGCAGCAGAATAAAGCTTTTAGGGTAACTTTAGCTAAGAAAAGCACTTAGGAATACGCAAAGTTTCCTTTTAAGAAAATGACTTCTCCATTTGACAGCGTTGGTACAACCCCAAAATAAATTCAGTGGGAGTCTGAAATGACTCGTGCAGTGCAGCAGTAAAGCAGCTAAGTATATTTTTTTCCTCCCAGCAGAGGCTTGCTTTACATCCTTGAGCCTCTCCCTTCTCCAAGCTATTCCCCAGCACGGGGAACGTTCCGAGAGCACGCCACCGGTGACTGCCACCGCTGAACTTGTTCCACTGTCCCCATCCCCACCGCTCCCATCCACGCCTTTTGTCTTTCCCAGCTCTGCCTTTTTCTCCCACAGAGGCACTAACCCACCCGTCCCTCTACGAGCACCGCATACCACTTCACCTTCCACGGGCATGTTGAAAATAAAGACCAAAAAAAGTAAAGGAAACAACGAAGAAGAGAAAGGATGTCACTCTGTCTGGATGCCTAGCATAGCCTCTCTCTCAGCCTACAGAGAAATGTAAATATGCGGTCATTAATTTGGGTTAAAGAACATTCCGTACACTAGGGATATTGTTAAGCAGTCACTTTATCTATTTTTCATTAATCAGGTTTTATTAAGACATTAAAACTTTATGTTGGGCATTTCTGAGTTTTTATCATTCTGTAAATTTCCCAGCTGTCCGCGACGGTTCTGGCTGCATTGTCTCTACCTTATCCTCAGTGAAGTAAACTTTCCTTCTATTGTGGCCGGACTTGTTATATTTAAGTATAATGACCCAACTTAAAAAAAGGGGGAAAAAAAAAAAGGCGAGAGAGAAAAAACCAAACAACAAAAGACTTTTTCTTTCCAAGACCTTTAGAGCCAATGCAGGGTGCCACAGGCACTCACACAGCACATCCCAGAAGTTACCCCTTCCCTGGGAAACACACGGAGTGCATTCCAGTTACAATATCTCCCCACGATGTTGCTGCAAACATCATCCCCCTCACCGTACGCATTCTGATGCTCCTCTCAATCAGGCAGCTCCACAACCACAAACAGAAATAAAGGCGTGCAAGCAACTTCTCAGGGAAGGACGAAAATCCTCACAATTTTGACACGGTAGTTAACGATACACGTTAATTCACAAAACCTACTGCAATTTACCAGTGATGCTGAATGCACTAACGAGCGTTTATTTGTCTGATCCTGCGGATCATTTTCATTCCAAGTGCGTACCGTAAATTCCCCCTGCTGATGGCCACAGACACGGAAGAGAAGCCCCCCTGAATTCAGCTCTCTTCAGCTGGGGCGACTGAAAGTTTCTCAAGTGTTTGCAGTTCACCGAGATCCACCGACACCTCCCAGGAAAGGCAACGGGGAGAGAGGAGCGAGCTCCTGAGAGACACACGGATGCTCCGAGATCTGAGCTGCAAACAACTTTGCCTGACAAATCTTTACCTCCTTGTCATCTGCCGTTCAAGTTTCAAAGCGAGCAGTGGGAGACGGGAAATAGTGAGAGAACTGAAGTGGGACACGCTGATATGACAAGCTGGACCCCAGGCGACTGCAGAAATGCGCTCCAAGGACCGTGCTGACTGAGAATCCAAGAAAAGAACCTGCCACAAACATCTAGAAAACAATGATCTGTGCATCGTGCACACGCACGCCAGCTCTGCAGGCGTCTGTGCTCCGAGGATCCCCGGGCAGGAAGAAGTGTGTCCTCGTGGCTGCTCCCTGACAAACACACTCGCATGACAGGGACAGTGCCTGGCTCTGTGTGTGTGTGACTGTAGTCAAACACACACAGTGTAAACAAACGGTAATCATTAACAAAGATACTGGTCTCTATCCTCCAATTTCAACTGCAGAGGGAAAATTGTTGAAAAAAAAAAAAAAAAGAAATTTCAAAAAAATTGCACGTCCTGAGGTTCAATTTTATTGCTTCCCATTTCTACTGCTTGCCATTATCTGCATGGCAAAAGGAGAGCAGCGTATTGATTATTTAACTAGAATGTTTACAAGAGCAAAGCTGGGATCTCTGAAAATGAAACGTGTGCCTAGGGGCAAAAAAAAAAAAAAAAAGAAAAAAGAAAAAAAGAAGGGAGTAGAGAAGCTCATTCTAAGGATGATGGTTGTCCCAAATGACTTGTTTATATATAAAATTTATATAAATATCTATATTTATAATGCAGAGAGACTTCAGCTAAAGAAAAAAAATGCCCCAGCAGGAAAATGAAAGGACTTATTTCTGCTTCAGAGAGTTTACAAGCATTGTGTTCATCACAAAGTTCAAAGAATAAGCAAAATCCCTCGCTTATAAATTTCTATGTGTAAACTTAGTGAGGCACATGAAATACTTGAATCTATCGATTGCATGAAAAAGACAAATACATGAGCACGATGCCAGATCAAACCTGACATCAGAAACAGTGACAGTTTCCTCAGGTAGCTGAACTAAGTTAATGCAGCGCACGTGAACAAAACCAATTTTGTCCTATTATTGCAATGCTAACAAACCAAAGGAAAAGTATTCCAAGTCTGGGAAATTAATTGCATTAAAGACAACCTTGGAGTAGAGCAACCTAGCCCATTTCACTTTCTAGTGAGGAAGCGTTCTAGTTTCAGAACAAGGACTGAAAGTGTTAAACTAGTTCTTTTCTGCATTTCCAAATTTTAATTTTCTCCGGTCTTTTAATTCAAGCGTTCTTTCCTGTCCTTCCTTTGCATGCGTGTTCCTCAGCCCACTTAAAATGTTTTTTATCTTGCCTTCTTTTCTATGCCTTTACTATCAAATTCAGTAGGTTTGAACGATGAACAGCTTGACTTAGCATATTTTTAACCAGCTGGTCTAGCACCTAGCTTGTATTGCATAGTCAGATACAACCAAATGTTTATACAGGAGGTAGCTTTCACGAAGATGAGAAAAACCTCAGTAACGCGCATCCTGGCATTCTTTCATTTACTGCTTCGAAATGAAAGTTTGGATTGTTTACTGCAGCCGCACCAGGGGCTATTAATAACCCTTAAAGAAGAAGCCGGAGGGGAGGGATGCGGGACCATCCACGCACGGACGCACCAGAGCCTGAGCAAACGCTTCCAAACATCTCAGCAGAAGCAGATCGTATGAAATAAGGACTGAACTCTCCGAGGTCACAAGCCACCACCAGTGACAGCAAAAGCTTGATTCCAAGCAGGGAAGGCTCCTGTTTCGGGCAGGGGGAGACGGGCACACCTACGTCACAGCTAAAGCCCGCTCGTCATACCCAGACCCGGCTCTTGACACTCCGCGGGAGAGGCGACGGCCAAAACTTGGGAGGCAAGAGTTTCACTTTTTCCCTTTCTTTTTCCCTTTGGGTTCCCCCCCCCAACCCCGCCACCTCTCTCCTCAGGCAGAAAGATGTTCTCCTGACGGAGGGCTGGGATGCTAACTCGCCTAAAAAATAATAGCTCCTGCTAGATCAACAAAAGGTCATGTGCTCGGCAGAGCGCCTTCCCAAGTTTGACGGGAGCCCGGGGCTGGAAGTTGGAAGATGCCCGGGAGCCTGGCCGCCGCCGGGCATCCTCGGGCCGCTCCGCGGGGGCTCCGCGGGCGGCTCGGCGGCCGGGCCGGGCTGGCGGAGGGTGTGCAGGAGGAGGGCACGGCAGGCTCTGCGGCCCCGGAACAAAGCCGGGGGCTCGGTCAGCGGCACGGCGCCGGGGCAGCGCCTCCCCGCCCGGCCTCCTGCCGGAGTTGCGCGCCCGTCCCCGCGGCTCCGTGCGCCCGCTGCCCATCCGCGCGCCGACAGGAGAAATTAGGAAAAAAAATAATAATAATGGAAATAATAGTGCAATAACAAACAAAGCACGGAGCAGAATGGAAAAAAAAAAAAAAAGAAAAAAGAAAAAAAATAAGAGAAGAGACACCCCCGCACGCATACACACACCCCCGCCGCAACAACTCGACTCACCTTTCAAACTCCTGAGGTAAATCAGGGTCAGTTAGCATGCTGGAAAAGCACAATTTCCCTTTGTCACAGCAGCCACCTATGGTCGCCTCCAACTGAACCTGTCAAGTGAGTCCAAACCTTCTAAACCGATTGATTTTCTCTCTCGCTCGCTCTCTCCCTCCCTCCCTCTCCCTCCCTCCCTCCCGGCTCGCTCGCTCTGAGCGAGGACTCCTTGACCAGTCTCTTAAAGGGGCAGCGCGCCCGCCGCGCTCGCAGCGCGCAGCTCCCCCCGCCGCGCCGCGCTGCGCGACCTCCGGGGGCCTGGCCTTCCCTTTCACTTCTGCTCGCCCGCCGCCGCCAAACGGGAAAAGTCAACTCCTTCAATGTCCTAAAAAAAAAACGTGGAGGGGTGGAGGGGATAAAGGGGAGGGGGNGGGGGCGGGGGGGGGAGGAGGGGAAAATAACAAAAAGCAGTCCGACAATGCACCTAAAGCGGCAAACCAGGAGCAAATCCCCTGCGCTGAGGAAGATCAGTGGAGAAAGAAGATAAAACAAGAGCAGACTGATTAAATTGAAACAGTTATCAACTCTCGGAGTTGAAATAGGGGAGAAGAGATTAAACACATAAAAATGTTACCAAAGGCATTTGTGCTCCGAAGAATTTTCATTCCTTTCCCCCCACCCTTCCCGGTCTCCCTCTTTCTCTCTCCCTCTTTCTCTCTCCCTCTTTGGGTAGGGGAAGGAAAAAAAAAAAATCACCCGCACAACAATCAGGCATTGTTCTGAGGGAAGAAAAGCAACTTTGACAGATTGAAATATAGCAGAGGCCCCTTCAAGGAAACCTGTAAACAACTTGTCACTCACTCTGTCGGTCTCACTGTTAGCTCTTGCTTTCCACAAAGTGCTGCGAACCGTCCTGGCAACAAACCCAAAGTTTCCTCAGCTCCAAACTCCATCAGACAGCCCTGTTGTGTGCGAGGGAAAAGGTAGCCACATGCCAAAACAGCGGGCGCTCACACGGATGTTCAAACAACAACAAAAAATAAACTTTCCGTTCATCTGTCGGGGCTTTTCTCGTTTTCTGTTTAATCACACCCCCCTTTTTCCCCTCCCCACTCTCGGGGCGAGCAGAAGTCCCCGGCTCGGGCTCCCTCTGGGTTCCCTGCCCAGACCATCGCTGATAACAAGGTGGCCGAGGCGCGGCCGCAGAGCCCCTGAGCTGCCTGGCGGAGCGCAGCCCCGGCCGCTCTCCGGTTACCCAGATAAAAATCTGCCACGCGGGGAAGGCAGGCGGGCACCGGGCCCCCGAGCCGCCGGCAGCCCCCGCAGCCCGGCCCGGGCACGGGCGCATCCCTGGGCGCCGCGGGGAAACAAATCCAGCAGTTCCCGTCCGAGCCCGGGGATCGGCCGGGGCTGCCGTGCCAGCGACAGTCCGCCCGGGTCCGGCCTGGCGCTGAACTCGCTGCGAGGGGCGGGAGGGGAAAGGGAAAAAAAAAAAGAGAAAAAGAATTGGGCGCCCTGTTCTTCCGCACACACGTGCGCTCACACCCACACAGGACCACGTATCTATACCCCGTTCTTTCCAGTTCTCCTGCCCTAATTCTTTTCTCTCTTCCCCCCGCTTTCATCTGCAGCTGGACAGCATTAAGGGCCTTTAAAACGCACGTGGTTTCGACCCCACAGCCCGCATTGCCACCCCTCTCATCCCTGCCTCCCAGTGGCACGGAGATAGCAAGTTTACTTTTTCAAATATATACACATATTTGCACGGAGCATCCATAAAACTTTCAACATTTCCATGCCCGCTGGCTTAAGAAAAACGCCAAATAGAAAAGCTTATTATTTTTAATATCCAACAGCTAGACTGTTTAATTTGCTGCTTTTCGCTGGCGGTGCATATGCTAGAAAGCAGCAGGCTGGTGCAGAGGGCAGTCAGTCCAGGGTTGGTGTAAAGGCACTGCCAGCTGGGATCGGGGCTTTCATCCCCAGGAGAGAGCCCATCCCAGCTTGTCGGAGCGCGGCACACAGCGCCAGCCCAGCCCCGGCACAAAGGGGATGGGCACGGGCAGCCCCAGCCCTCCAAAATCCGCCAGCTCCTGGCACCAGCGAGATCTCCTGGCTCCTCACCGCGGGGCAGGCTCAACCACCTCCCTTCGGCAGCCCCCAGCTAATAATATTTTCCACAGAGGTCCATTCATGCGAGCCTGACAAACCTGTTAATATCTACACGGATTTTTCATTTGTTTTTTAGTGGCTATCCCTTTTAGGACAGCCATGAAGTAGACTTTGAAAAGGCAGCAGATGATTAAAAAGAACAATTGCAAATACTTTCTCTTTCATCTGAGGGTCTCAAACCACGTTAAGTATCACATTACTCCTCTGCAGGTAATAAATATAATTAGGGCCGATTCCAAAACTTTATTTGTATTGAAAAGTATCTCACTCTGCAGGGGCTCCATTCAAATCAGCAAATCTCTGTGTGGAGTAGGAGGCTACTTAGTAAGAGAATTTGGCCTCAAATAAGGAAAGTGAGATGCAGGCAGGCTTAGTAGCTTGCCCAAGTTGACGCAGTTAGCCAACTCCAGCAAAAGGATGAAAAACAAAGACCCCACATGCCTCACAGTCCACAACAGCCCTTATGCTGCTGAAACATGCAAATATATTTTTTAATATATATGTATATTTGAGCTTTTTTCCCCACAGATTTTTTTACTTTTACTCTTTTGTTTAAAACATGCTTCATTTCTGTATCCCCATTCTGTAGGGGCCCTCTTCTTGGTGTTTCATTTTCCCCTTGATGCACCACTGCCCATCCATAAATGCTGTTCCTTCTGTCCCAGCTCCTGCTTTGCTTCCCCTGTTTCTATTGCTCCCCCTCACACCTGGCCCTGGGAGAGGTTTACAGAGTGAAGCTGCACAGAAGCCACATCTGGAAGAAAATCAGGAGCACCTTTTATGAGAAGAAGTATAAATCCCGAGCATTTGGGTAGAAAGGAATACCATGGTCTGGCATGTTAGCTCCATGAGCTCTAACCTCGTGTCCTTTTACCAACTCAGCTCCACTCCCCAGCTGCCCTTCTTCCACCATGTCCTTCCTTTGTCTGTTCACGTGGGTTTTCCCCTTTCCCATATCATTTCCCACTTGAGCTTTTCCAGGACAATGATCACACCCCCCCAAGCTGGGATTATTCCTGGCACACTGGGGCTCCTGGTCTGCTGGCTCCCAGCTAGTATGATTAGAAACCAAAGCAACCACCATCAACATCAGGAATTACAGAAGAAGACATGGGCTAGATGAGGAAGAGCCAGAAAGAAAAGGAGGGAAAAAAGAAAAATAAAAGTGTGGGAGAGAAAACCAAGATATCTGAGCAGAAGGGAGAGCTGAGAAGGGGAGAGGAAATGGAAGTAAGAAAGGAAATAGAGATCCTGAATGGTTCTGACATGAACTCTTCTTTTACTTAACCTAGTTTACAATTAGCCCAATACATTTTGTGCTCAGGTACCTTCTTCCCCATAACCTTCATTTTATGTTTTCTGCAACTACTGAGCTCCTGCTCCCAGATGACTGGGGAGTGGTGGCCAAAGAGGAGAAAAAAACCAACTGACTGTTGCTGTTGTAGTAATTTGGTATTACAGTATCCTTGTCCTATACTGGATTATAAGGATAATATATATATATTACTGGAATATAGACAGTTAAGTATAGACTTGCTGATGAAATTACTTTCTCATAAGAAGTTCAGCTGCAATTGCAAGATGGAGAAAAGGCAAGTTAAGTGGTTTGAGGGAATCTTGAAACCCTTCTAAAAATCTTTTCATATTGACTTTTAGCTTCCTTTTGAGAAATTGCCAGGACATGTCACAAAGTCTGCTAGCACACCAGAAACTGGAAAAACTGAGAAATTCAGATAAATAGCCACTGAGAAAGAAGAAAATGTCCATAACATGCAACTGTCCAGTTTTTAACGTAAGAAATTTTATCTGGGTCTGAAACTTTTGACTAGTAACAGGAAGCTCTGGTGGCCCTTTTTACTGAGTGGGTGGTAGTTACAAAACCCACTTGCAACCTCCAGCATCCACATTTAATGCTCACAGCTCTTTCTTCTCAAACTGAGAATTCAGACACAAGTTCAAATGTCTTTAACTGATGAAAAAAATGAAAATCCTCTTACTAGTCCCCTAGCAATTCAGTGAAACTGCATTTCTCTTGCTTTGATTCCTTTAAGGGGTGCCTAAACAAAAAAGTAAAAGAGGACAATTTGGGTTGAACTAAAAAAAAAAACCTTCTGATTTTCATTTGGATGAGGGGACACAATTGAAATCATAAACTCCTATAAGAAATTTTGTGCTTAATTTTTTTTTTTTTTTTCTATTCTGGTTCTCCAGATCAAGAAGTGAACCAAAAATGAATTATCCACCCAGCTCAAGTTAGAAATCCTGTAACTCTGGAATACTGCACAGGCAGAATCCTCAAGTCTTTACACAAGCACATTGGAAGAAGGAAAACATTAAATGAAGCATTATTATTTTTTTTTTTAATCCTTAAATGATATCACTTCAGTCTAGTGCCTTTGATGGATCCTGCAGGCAAAGGAAGATCTGGGGGGGAAAAAAGAGCTTTTTGGGTTTTGTTATTTCCACTGTAGGTTTTAATAATAGAGACCTACAAAGTCCAAGGCAATGTAAGATGTTCCACAGAACGATTTACTGGAAAATTCTCACAGAAAATATGCAAAACTCCGAAGATCCTAAATGGATTTTCTTTTTCAGGCACACACTCAAAACAACTGCAGCATTAGGAATGAATCTGTAAGGCTCCTGAGAAAGGGTGTTTTGCACCACACTATGGGAGAGTGGAGGGAGAATAGAGCGGGGCTGATGCATTCATTATGAAAAATATCTTGCAAATAATGAGTGCTTGCTTCAGAGCATGGAAATGTTTAGCTACAATGCAGTTTGGATCATATGCTCAGGAACAGATTTTTCCTTCCAGTGTGCATGCCTAGCTGCCATTTCCATTAATGGGAATTAAGTACATGTGTCAAGAGGAGAAGTTAACTCTTAGAAATAAAACTAATCTATGC